TTAGTTAGTTTGTTTCATTGTAACATATTTTGCCATATGTTTAGTGTAAAATTCTCTTTTGATTTCATTTAAGGTTAGAAAAATTGAACTGCATTCAGATTACTTAAGTTTATAGGTACAAAATTGGTAGTTTGTATACTGTGCATGCAATTAAGGTGAAATATGCATAAGGAGTAATCATGAAATAGGGAAATAGTAAATAAAGTATTTAATAATAATAGTAAATAAATATAAATGGGGAAATTGAATATTGAAATAGTTTTAAAGAAAAATTATAATCTTTTACTAAGTACACTTAAAAATGCACTTCTAAAGATGATGATGACTGATTCATAATTGTATTAGATCAAAATAACAACATGATAAAGACAGAAATCAAAATTAAAAAAAAAAAAAATTAATTAATTGACTTTATTAACTCAACAATTTATTCATTTAATTAAAATCAAAAAAAAATTTAAATTTTTAATAAAATTTGGGGAAAACTATTATTATTATTATTAAGAATCGTTTTCTTTGAAAAATTATTTATTTTAGAGTTGTTGAAAAATGTTAATAAAATTTCTTAAAATTTTCCTTCCAGTAAATTATTCTCAACGAGGCGGTTACAAAAAAAAATTGTTTTGAAACTTTTATTAATTATTATTATTATTATTATTATCTTTGTTCTTGTTGTTGTTGTTTGTAAAACATGAAATATTAAAAAAAAAAAAAAAAGGTAAAACAAAGGTTTTCGCCCTTATCATTCTTATCATTAATTTTTTTTCTTTTTTTTCATGTCGTTTAATAAATTAAACGTTTGCGAAAAATGTTTTCTTTTGTCTCCCATTTAAATAATATTTTTTCCCGCCTTTTTTTCTTTTTCCTCTCCTCTGCCTCTCCCTTTACAATCATTTTTATTTTTTAGCCCTTAAACCCATTATAATCCTTCCAATATTTTTTTTTTAATTCATTTTTTTTATTTTTGTATTCGCTCAAGTTTTTGTTTAAAAAGAGTTTATTTAAAAAATTATTATTATTATTACTATTATTATTATTATTATTATCATTCGTATTATTTGTTTTATTTAACATTTTTAAACTTGATTATAATTTATCCGCGTTTTAAAAAAAATATTTTTTATTAAAAAGTTTAACAAACGTGGCACCAGAACTTTCTTTTTTTTTTGCATTTTAATAATTTCGCTTATAATTTTATTTATGAAAAAAAAAAATACGTTTTGTTGTTAACAATATATTATGTAATGTTTCGATCTCGTTAATTCCACGTTCGTTTTTATAAAAAAAAATGGCGGAAAAGAGGAAAAAACGACAAAATAT